TGATTATAGGGAAGGAGAGGTATAGGTTTTTAAGGAGTTAACGCTGCTGATTAATTGGTGGTTGAGAAGAAATCGTAGTCCAAATTTAAAACTGTAAAGCATCATTATGTCAAACTAATACTTGAGTAAATAAAATGAAAATACCAGTTATTTGACGCTGTTTTAAAAGAATCTTATCTTTATTCATAATAAATTTCTTTATTATTAAAAACAACAAAATAGTTATTTCTATAATAACAAAACATTTTTTATGGATGAAAAAAACAAAACTTCTTCTAGGCCATATATTCAATTGACAATCTTGTTTTTGAAGTTTTTTGAAACAACGACCCAGAAGGAGAGCAGCATGTTCTACTGGCACGTTTTTGAAAAAACTTTAAACTGAACAACATGTTTAGATCTTCGCAATATGGAGCCTTTAAAAATTCAGTTATCATCAAATTCAAAGCCCATTACCAAATTCAAGTAATTTTTAGTATCCAAAGAAACGCTAATGATTGAGTTAACAGATTGTCACTCGATACCATGATTGGAAAAAAAGGTTCATCGATAAGAGTTTCAAACAGGTTCGCGTCACACTATGTCAGTGAATCACCTCGGTTTCGACAGATTTGAAGAAAAAAAAGCGTGGCAAGATGGAGCCAAAGAGAGAGAGAGAGAGAGAGAGAGACTGTGTCGTATGGTCAAAATAAATTCAATTAAGATCCCGACAGAAGATTTCGGGGAAGCGGAAGATGCTTCTCGCGACTCTCGCTCGTCACCTATGTCAAGCACACACGCGCGGGCTGTATAATAAAAACGCTTGTTTTGAGATGACAAATGGTAATCGTCGCACCAATATTTCCATTATACATACGTGTCGCGTGCAGCTTTCAGAATGCCGTCAGCTGACTAGACACACCGTTCTAGGAATGCAAAGAAGTCGTCAGGTTTTGGCTTTGTTCGACCGTTAAAGAACGTGGGAACATAGTCTTTCGTTGGAGGTTTTTTTTTAAAGTTTTTTTTTTTTTTTTTCATCATTCACATCGTAAGGTAAGTAGCTACAGCACTCCAGCTAATACCAGCTACAAGTACATACCTACATTTGTGTGTACAACTTTGTCGAACTGTTGATTGAAAATAATGCGGTACAACCAGTTTCGTATACAATCTCCGCAAAAACAAAAGACCCATCGCCAAGTCTTATCCATCGCACGTGTCTCAATCCCATCGTCTCTTTCAATCAAACGCAGCTGTCGTACAGGTGGGCGAAAGTAACGAGTTTTTCTCTCGGTTTTTCTTGCGCTCATTCGAACGCGAGAAGGTATTAGGTACATCTTTTTGCTTTGCAGCCCCCAAAAACAGCTTTGTTCTGATGTGCACTACCAATTATGTGCGTTTCTCGGCAAAAAATCGTGACGGGTAGCCGAATGTTTTAATCGTGTCATTTTTTTTCTCTGCTAAATTTTTTTGATTCTATGGTTCTAAAGTTTTTTTTTCGCCTATTTGAAATTTTTCGGCCGATCTATGAGCTACTGTTTTTATTATAATTGTACAACGCACTTTGATTGGACTGTGCGTGGAAAAATAAAAAAAAAAAGAAATTCAGCAAAACCCGTCGAAAAAAAGATAACAAAGCTGCTACCCGCTCAAACCAAGCGACTGGGAGAATGAGAGAAGAGCAAGCAAATAAAAGATTCCGAACAACTTTTCAAATTGCTTTTGGGCAAAACGATAAAAAAAAAAAAAAAAATAAAAAGGTACAAAAATTCCGACGAATAAAAAAAAAGAAAAACAAAGCGACAAGCGAAAAAAGGGGAGGGAGAAGGCAGCGAAAAGGGTTATAAAATTAACGAACCACCGGGCTCCCCCTCCTGCGCCGGTACGATAACGTCATGATAAATTCTCGTTCCACCGGTGTGACACACACGCACGCTCACACTTACATCCCCTGTATTCCTTTTGTATGCGTCCGCACACCCGTTGGTTCCCCCGGAGAAAAAAAAACCGATCGATCCCCCAGCCTAGACCTTGACGCATCCCTGAGTGGGCTCCTCTACTATATATATATATACATAGGCTTTCTTGTTCGCCGTGTCCTGATTTTCCACAAAAATCAGTCCGTAACTGTGGTCTCCTAATTCATTATTATTATTATTATTTTTTTTTTTTTTTTTTTTTTTATAAGTATCAGACGATCATATAAGTGAGACGTCAAAACTGCCCACTGCTATTACGTGCGACCACGATCGCTTAGGGCGACTGTGGGCGTTTTGCCATGTGTTTTTTTCGCGTTTCCTGTTTCAACGTGCCACTCGTTTGACGAGTGATTGAAATGAAAAAAATATTTACTTCTTTGCGGGACGTCTAAAAGATGTGTCGCGTAGATTTTAATGCTCTTTGGGCGGTACTCCAACACAGTACTATCTCCTTCGCTAGACAAAAAAATACTTGCTTGCATTTGTTCGCGGACAAAATAACAAAATTACGATCTGTTTTTTTATACAGGTGGCGCTGTTTGAGATTATTTTACGCACTCGAGTTTTTACCACATCAGTGATATTTATCATACAATTACCTGTAAACCCTCCGATATCACAAAAAAATCGTGAAAGACAGTGAGTAGTACACAAAAATCTTGTCATTAGAATTTCGTTTAAACTTTGGGTAGGTACACGTTATTAGAGGTTTAGTTCAGCTGTGGCGTGAAAAAAATACTTTTACTATTCATTTATATCGAAAACTGTGCTAAAAACCGTACCATTTTATAAAGTGTTTAGCCAAAGTTATCAAGAGGGAGAGAGAAAAAGAGAGAAATTTTGACTGGGTCTTTAGGTAATATTTTTGGAAAAGGTAATATACAGAACTATGACACTATCTTGAATACCTAACAATGAATCATTAAAAGAGAACCAGCGTAAAAATTTTTAAGTTTGGCCAAACTTGGGCTAAAGTTCATGTGGCCAATGTTTGGCCAAGCTTGGGCAATGAAAAAATCCCAAACTTGGATTTTTGTTGGAATATTTGACTCAAGTTTAGCAAATGTTCATCGAAACGTCTAAAAAATTAATTTGTTGCGTCAGTATATTAGTCGGTCTGCATGTACGACTTACGAAAAATATTGAGTCAAATATAAAATCCAAGTTTGAGATTTTCTTATTGCCCAAGCTTGGCAAAAGTTAGGCCAAACGTAAAAAATTTCACGCGGGAGTCATACTTATGCTTAAAAAAACTCATATCGATTAATTTTTCGTTCAAATTGAAAAAGTCCCCAAACGGCACCCCGTAAAGCTCAACCATTAAATTCACCGCAAAAAAAAAATCAGCCAAAGCCTCGAAAAAACCAGGTAGCATCGCAAAAACCTTATACGCGCGTAAATCAAGCGACCCTCCCCCTCTCACCACTCTCAGTCGAACGGACCCAAAAACAATCCCGTGGTGCGCGAAGCAATTAAACACACACACACGCACCTGTGGTATACACATAAAAAATCTCAAACATCGATCCACAGACGGAAAGAAATTCCATGCACCCTTGGTTTCCCATCGACTTGTCGTCCCTCTTTCGTTCTCGTCCACATCAGGTACACATATAATATACAGGTACATGTAACCCTTTCGGAGAAAGGCAACGCGCTCTGTTACACACACACACACACACACACACACACACACACACACACACACACACACACACACACACACACACACACACACACACACACACACACACACNATATATATATATATACATATACATACACGTAAAAAGAAAGAGAGATGGAAACGAGGAGAGGAATACGTAACGAACCAAAAGGAGAAATAAAGGATCGGCGTGCGTGTATACCGAAACAAGTGAGAAAAGAAAGGGGAAACGATTGGACAGGGAAGAACTTTGCCGCTGTAGCGCAGTTTTATGCTGAATAAAAAAAAGGGGCGCAAGGAGAGGGCATAAAGTAGGAACCCCGATTAAAACACCAAAGAATTAAAGAGAGATTAGGTTGGCGGCCGGAAGTTTTGAGCTCGAGTGTGTGTATGTATTATAAGTACTACATAACAACGTGCCTGCATCACTCGAAACCTGACCCACCGCGTGCCTCAATATAATGTTGCAAGGATTCGTTTTCAGGGAGATGAAAGACACTCCTCCCCACAAGCCGATCGTATATGAGGCTCTCTTGTTTCCAATGCGCGAAATACGCGCTCCCAAAACTAAATTAAGGTAAAATCATGTGTACCGAGCACAACACGGAGGAACGATCGCGATGGGTATGCCTATACATTTGGGCGAGCCTGCACCGATCCTTCCTTCCGCTTGGGAAAATCTGCCAGACTTTGCCCCCCCCCCCCCTCCCCAACCTTAATTACGTGCAATAAAGATCCCGGGTGTCGTCGTCGTCCCCAATCGGCCGAGCATACCTGACCTCCAGCTCGACTATGATGTCTTTACCGAGAATCGGGCAGCAGTGTCTCCATGCCGTCTCCGACGTGAGCGCTTTCTCTCCCTCTCGTGTCTTTAAACATATATATACATAATACATACCTGTGTACCCACAGTGTATATATTTTACCTATAGGTACGAGTGGGATGTAAAACCACGTGCAGCAAGCAAATGAACGAACCAACGAGCGGATGAATGAATATACAACACGAAGCACGAACCGAGAGAGAGAGAGAGAGAGAGCCGTCTGTCACGTGGCTGGCGGTGACTCTTTGTGGGCGTGCGAACCTCCCTCGACGTTTTATTGCTTCCTTCCCTATGCAACGCGACAGTCGTATACTTGCGCCACTGTTTTCATTTTTATAATAAGCCTTTCGTTTCGTTCGGCTGCAGTGCCAATCTAAACGAGCCAGAGTTCGACTTAACTATGTCTCTCCTCGGCTGGATTCTCGGTAATTTTTTTTTTCTCGCTAGGCTACAGGTACCGTTCACGTGATTCTTTTTTTTTATTCGAAGAGGGGAAGATAACTGGACGAAAATGGGGGGGGGGGGTTCGGGAGAAAAAAAGCGCCAACTTACCAGGAGCATCGGCACCAAGGTGTGATCGTCCACCCAGGCGAGGACGATGTCGGCGCTTCTCATGCTGCTCTGGCTGTTGAACCCAATGCCAACGTAACCCCTCGTCCTGGCCGTCACGCGAAAGGTCACGTTTTCACTGTCACTGTGGTCCCATTCGAGAATCACGTCCCCGTCGTCATCCAGTCTCTCGTATCTCGTGAATTTATGAACATCCGAGGACGTCATAAACACACCGCTGCTGCGCCTGGCACGCTTGGTATGCCTCTTTTTCCCGTGCTCCTCATTGTACTTTTTCGGGCTGCGGTCCATTTTCTTCTTCGTCTTGTCCTTCTTCATCTTCTTGTTGGCCATGTGTAACAGATGGCTACTGCTGCTGTCGAGTTTTGCTTCGACTGGCGCTGCTTCCTTCTGGCCTTTGGTGTGAGACTTTTTAAACTTCAAGCTGGATTTTTGGTTTATTTCGGGACCCTCGGTTGTCACCCTAAAAACGTGTGACTCCTCGTTAGGGCTGTCCTCCTCCTCGCGTATGTACGTGAAATCGAGGTTATCCTTTGGTAACGGTGTCCTCCTTCTTCCTGTAAATTACGAATAATCGGGCCATTATAGTTTTATCTTGGGGGCGGAATTTTCAGGGCCTTAGATGCTCGTTTGCTAAGCTTCTCACAACCACGCTGATGACGATTATCGTTTGATGGAAATTTCGAATCACAATCTGGTGGCAGCAACGTACAGTGGTTCTACAAATACTGCAAATTGCTTTACGGCCCGCGTTTCTTGGTAAATATGAAGCAAGGAAATTTAAATAATTATCCAGTCTTATTAGCGAAGGGTGAAGGTAGGTTCCGATAGTCAAGCTCATCTCTTGTTAGTAATTTTTTATAAATATATTTTACAGCCATTTTTGGGAATTGTGCCCAATAGGCTCTGCAATGCTGTGTTATACTCTGCATATATAGGCTACCGTCATTGGCATAGTAAAAAATAACCGCATCAGATTTAATTGTGACATCAATCACTTACACAGCAAAGGGGACCTTATTTTAAATGGCTTCCGAACCATCGGACCACAGTTAGACTACACACGTGAGAAAGTACATCCTCAGAGGTGCGTGCCAAGACAGTAGAGGCCGGATTTTAAACTCGTGAGCATGCGTTACAAAGCCTTTCGAGCTACAAAAACCGCAGCCTAAACCACTGGGCTACCGTGGCCGCTTTGTTGGTAACTTAGTTATGACATAAGATATATATTATTAAGAATAATTGAAACTACCAATAAGTGATGAGCTTAATTTTCGGAACCCATCCTGAAGAAGCTATGGGGATCGAGCTGGGAGATAATTTGCTAGCGAGCCTACAATATTATTAGTCTAGTCAAATAAGGTCTGAAATTCCTCTTGAATCTAGAAAGTTTACACAATGATGTACCTGCAATACTCAGTGGCGGATTCACATAAGGGCACTTTGAGATTTATTAAGCACTTTATATTTAATTACCGGTGAATTTTTTTTTACATTAAATATGATTCGATAATAAAATACTAAAAGAGAGGTTTTCCATCACTCGACATATTAACAAAAAGGAAAATGTTTAACGGAATGAGAATAAGGAAATCTCCTTTGATTCAAAAAATTGGGTTGCTCAGTGTGCGAACAGACATACGTAAGGTTAAAAATAACTTGAAAAAAGTTAGAGCATATAAGTTTTTTTTTTTTCAACTTTCATAAGTGATTAATCGTGAAAAACCAGTAGCGAAGATGCACGGGCGAAAAAACTGTCAGCCAAAGGAAAGTGTAATCATCCTGATAGGCTCCATATCTGCCAGTTCAAATAACTGATATTGGCACTCTTTAGCTCTGACATTTACACTTATCCTTTATGGCCGATTGTTTTGCACGTAACTTCTCACTGTTTTTTTACATAAAAAAAATGTTTTCTAAACAAAATTTTTTGCAATCTCCGGTGATAACGGGACATTTTTTTGTATGCCTGTCTACCAATTATAAAATATACGTGTTTAAAAGTTTCGGATGTTTTTCTCGCACGGTAGTGCAAAGCTTCAGATTTTTTAAATGTTTCCACCGTGTTAAGTTGAAACAAAGTAGTGTTATACCAAAAAGATAAATTTCTACTTTGTAAAAACAAATTCGAATCTTATAATACTCGATTACGTGTCAAACGCTCAAAAAAATTCGTTGTCCCGCGACTAAAGCCCTCGTTACTTGTTAAATACAAAATTAATTACCGTTAATTACACACATTACATAGCTTGTTTGTTAAAAAAAAATCATTAAATTGTTGTAATATAATAAAATAATGCGGAATAATAGAAATAACTAGACAAAACAATGAATTTGTTGTAGGTTAGAATGTAATTTTATAATATCCTTAATACAGAACGTATACATACATTGTAAGAAAAAATATACGTTATAAACAAAAATCTACATGATTAATGGAAAACATAAGAATTTTATGTATAAAATGAAGTATGTTTGTGTAAAAATAAAAATACGAGAAAAAAAAGTAAATGAAATTTTGTTTTGTTTTTGTAGTGATCTACGTACTCGCATACTTGAATAGAATACGGAAAAATTCATAAGTGATTGTAAAAATAATATAAGTGACGCAGATCACGCGATGTTCTCCTAAGTTAAGTAGCCTTATGAAAACTTTGAAATGTAAAAATTCAGCCCTCTGTTTTTGAGATACATATCAATATTGTTACAGTAAAATCAAGTTGTATTTATGTTTTTAGAATTTACTGAAAGTATTTTAAAATCTTGGTCAGTTTTCGAAATCGAAGTAATCGTAAACTACAAAATGTACAATAATTTCAGAATTATATGGGACGAACAGTACATCAATTAACTTATTAAAAATATGACACTGAAATTTTCTTATTGTATAATCAAAGAGACAATACAAATTTCGAATATTTTAGAAATTTTTTATTGTTGAAGTTTCAGACCTATGAAAGTATCTTGTACGGTACATGGTGTATCGCGTAAAAAAGGTTGGGTGCAGAAACGTGATGGTAGCAGTCAACTTACGCAAAGTGTTGAAATTTTATTTTTCCATGTAATAGATTTTCAGATTAGATTATTATTGTGTTTTTTTATGCACTTTTACCGTATTATTTTTTCATCGCTCAGCCACCCCGGAAAAAAAAAAAACAAGAAATAAAAGCTAAATGACGTGACAGTATTCGCAAGAAAGCTTCGTAGCATGTGACTTATGACGAAGCTTGTAGGGATTGAATGAAGGCACTACTTTGATAATTTATTCCTTGTTTCGTATAAAATGTTTATCAAATTTCAAATTGTCAAAGCTAGTCTTTTAACCAAATGGAGTAACTTGAAATTCATTTAGAAATTTTCAAGAAAAAAACTTGAATTTTGAAAAGTATTAGGACTGTGTTGCTGTTGGCGTGGCTGAGCTTTCACAGCTCGGGATAGTGATTTGGATAAGGTCAGTTAATAATTGCCGTTCTTGCATGCGAGAGCATATATGTAGTAGCAGTAACAAAAGGTCACAGAGCTTTAATTAAATAAAGGAGTAACAAACTGTTTTACAAATATTGAAGTGCAGCTCGATATGAAAGGTGTTAAGCGTCGAACTTCCTTACGTTTATGTGGCAAGGCGAAAGAGTACAAGAGTGGCTTAAGCTGCACACGCTTTACAGGCTGACTAAGTATATTAGTTGCTTCGAAAATCAGTGGTTAGCCAAAAATATTAAAAACTAAAGTAATATTAGAAAGAGACAGAGCAATTTAAGAAGAGATAAAAATTATTTTTAACATAGGCAAGACTCTTCATTTTCTGTTTGAATATCTATGTATAGCTTAACGTGTGGAACAGCTACAAAACAAAATAATAATAGTTCAAATGTATTTATCAATCAGTACGTAAAATTTCAAGAAATAACGAAACGTTAATGTTTGGTTTATCAAAATAAATAAATAAATAGGCATACAACGTCCCGAAACGTACGTCGATTCAAAACATTGGTTTACATGCTACCGCATACAACTCATGAAAAAAGGTGAAAAAAATCGATGTTCATTAGATGAAAATTTAGAATTCGCGAAGAAAATCTTGACATGAAATCAAAATCTACAAAACTTGTTGTTTTCTGTAAGTTTTTTTCCACAACCACTTCATTCAAGAGTAAGTAACACTAAAAGTTTGATAAAAAAGAAAACCAATTATTGTCCAGTGATGGAAAATCTAATAACATTTGTGTCACATTTTTTATCTTTCTTGCATTACATCATCGCAAGATCTTGAATTTAATTTACCACAAATGCACTGAGAGACTGAATTATTTACTATCAACGTACAAGTATGTCAACAGAGAATTAGTTTATATGTTCTTTATAAATTTTTAAATTTTAACTGAGACAGACGGCATGTTAATAGTTAACATGATGCCATATTTACGTTAAACCTGCGCTGCGTTAGATGGCACTATCACGTGGGATACATATTACACATAAGTTAATTGTTAACATATGAATTTAATTACTAAAAAATCCTTCCCTCAGTGTGGGGTTAAAGCTTTTTTAAAAATGTGAAGGATTGTAAGAACTCTGTTTAGTTAGATTGAATATTGTTTTGTCGATTTCCATCAAACGGTAACCAACACTATCATTGCTCTCCCTATAAAAATTGTAAATCCCACCTTCGCGCAATTTCATTGGCAACCCACTCATTGAATATTTGTGCAAGAACGACCAACGAACCTTTGTTCCTCCTCTGGTCGATTTCGATGCTCTGCCTCACCTCGTCGGAGACCCTAAATACCGGGCTCTCGAGGACGCTCCTTCGATACCGATCACCCAGCGATCTCTGCACCTGATAGTACGAGCCCATCAAATCGGCGCTCGCCGCACCGAGAGCGCAAATCACCGCCAGAACCCTCAGCCACGACATCTTCAATTCCACAAAGAGCCAAAGGCCAGCACTTTTATACACCAAATAAATTTTCTTTTCTTTTTTTTTTTTTTTTTTTTTTTTTCAACACTGAACCTTAGCACTTGGGTACCCCGAATATCACCGATACCGGTCCATCGTCGAGAAATGAAAAATTATCCTCGCTACCGATCGGAGAATGAAAGTACTTTGGACGGAAACGGCGACAGCTCGGATCCTCGAGCATGATGTTGCCGGCAGGACAGTCGCGCCGGGACTAATTTCAAGACGGCGGCTACGGCGCACACGCATACGCGCTCTCGAGAAACGGCCCGGTGTTTGCTTGCTGCTCTGTAGGGAGAAGAGGAAAAAAAAAGCAAAAAAAGGATAGCGACGAACAGAGCGGTGGAGAGAGAAAAGCATCAGGCAGGGCCCGCACTGTTATGCGTATGACGAGCGGCAGTGGCAGCTGCTCGGCTTACCTGCAGCTTGGCGCGCGCGCCCAAATATGTGTACGTGTATATAGGGGCCCGCACGCATGTGCCCTCTCGCCCGTGGGGTTGTCCTCTTCTGTCCTTCTTTTTCGCTCTCTTTCTGCGCACCGTGAATGTAGATATACGCTTCGAGCTTGGGGCGGCATTATTGCGGGCCGTGGACCCCGAGGGTTATTGAGCAGCACCCGTATAGGGAGAGACGGGGAGAAAAAGGAGTTTTTGGGAGCGAAGCGTGTATGCGCGCGCGTGTGTTTTTCCTGTTCGTTGGTTGTACACAGCTGTGAAGATCTGCGTTTGAGGGGCCATATTCAGCTGCCGCTGAGCTGCGCGGGCTTTGGGCTCCGGAGGGTTGCGAGGGTATTTTTTTTTACAAGGGAGCAGACGGTTGCGTAACGTGCTTGTATGTTTTTGTTTGGCAAGCCGGGGGCTTTTTATTTGGTATGCTTGTGTTTATTCAAAACTGGGTCATTTTCTGCTGCCAAAACGTTGAAGTACATAGTTGTTTTTAAACTTTAAAACCTTAAATAAATTGTCAAGGAGTTGCAAAAAAAAGTTTGTTAAACGTCCAAAATATTATTCACTGATTTTCGGGGAGAAAATCGCTTGTGGGTTCAATTCTCTGTTATCTGGGTGACAATAGCTCAATGAGCGTTTAATATAAGTTATATCTTCATGAATCTTATAATCGTTTTCACATGTACAACAAATTATTAACATTGATGGAAATTATTGTGAAGTAGCGTAGTCTCCCGCTTCACGTATCAAACGATATCATCTTAGTAGGCCTTAGTTTGCATAAAAACTAACTCGACAGGTACCCAGAAGTAGTTTTTATTCATGAAAAAAAGTAGTCGACATTTTTGAAACGAGTGTATGACTCAATTAGCTTTTTTTTAAAAAAACTTTGTTAAGTTGTAATAACAACGTTTTTTAATTGTTTTTAAAACATCAAGTGAGTTTTGACCATCGTTTTTGTCGTATCCTCATGCGTATTTTTTTTTGGTTATCGAAACATATACTTTTACTCGTGATAGTTACACGTATCTTTCGCTTGATGTTTTCAGGCGTACTTAAAGCTTACAGAATCAATTTAAAAATTGTGATAACATTACATTAGAAGACGGAAGCAGTCGTAGTCGGAAAATTTCCATCGAAACGAAATTGGGAAATCGTGAACATGCGCGAGGAGAAAATGAGAGCCTGGCACGCGCACGAGGTAAGAATGACTAGACGCCCCTCTAATTGTTTTGAAGATCGCATCAGACGTTCAGGCGCTCGGCGTGCCAGCTGCAGAAAGTTGACTCGCTATTATACTTGGGTCGCTTCGCGCGATATACTGACCCTCCTTTTTTCTCCGACCCTTCTCCATCGGGGCCCTTCGGTTATTTTCGTCTGTGGACTGGAGCTATTTCGACGCCCAGAATTTTATTTCTACGTTACATTTTTCCGAAATATCACTTGACTTTTCTTTTACCTTCAGATGATGAGATACCGCTGGCTTATGTACATGTTCCATCACGTGGATTGGTGCAACCCTGGTAATCAATAAAAAAAAATGGGTAAAAAAATGAATAGACTTTGTGGATTGTACCAATAATCAATATGATTTAAAATTAACTGTAGCTTTACATGTTTGCAGTTATAAAAATTCTTTGGAAGAAATAGCTGTTTATCAATTAAGAAAAAGCTATCTTAAGCCCTATTCTCTCGCATTATTATTTCAAAAAATGTTTCATATTTTTTTCATACTTTTACAGCCTTATTGTAAAATAAATAATGCTAAAATTTCAATCATTAATATTTGTAAACAGGAAATAATCATTTTTCTGTCTTGGGCCTTTTTTACAAGCTATGGGCGTTCGTTGCATCCTCGAGTAACAAAAACAGCATTCGTATGATACGTATTCAACCAGGGCAATCACGAAGAGTCCTTGGGCTTTACTTCGTAGATCTTTCGGGCATTTGTATTGCTCTGATAGGCACTAAACTTGTGCTATTCTGACCATGGTCGCAAGGGGCTTACTTCACTGAATCACTATGCACCTTGAGTGTAAAGTTATTATCGGGCCCAAAGTGTACCCACGGGTAAAAAGCACCTGGTACTCATAGTGAATAAAATCATAATCGCAACATGAAGGTGCAAACAGTTAAAGCTGTAAAAATGATCGAAACTATTTGACTAAGTAGTCGCTGAGATGAAAGTATGACTTCAAAGTATTTTCCAACCCGTACATAAATATTCGTTGGTTTTTACGGATACCATTGTTAAATATCAAGTATAAGTATAAATATAAATGTTTCGTTAATGAAAAAAAAACAATTCGTGTATGAGGATGATTTAAAAAAAAAAAACCATATTGTTATCTTTCGTCAAAAAAATTATTTTAACAACATACAATATTTCTCTTAAGAAATATAGAAATACTATTTTTCGAAAACAAAAAAATTATGATAAGGTGAAAAAATTGATAATTTTTATCTTCAATTGTATGCTTATATCCAAAACGTGAAAAGTCCTTAGATATTTTTTAAAGAAAAGTTAAATATGAGAAACCTATTATTTTTCAGACAATAAATTAATCAGGGAACATGATAAAATAATACGATTTCAGAGAAAAAATTGTGAACTATGAAATAATACTTTATTGTAAATATAAAAAAAAATTAGTAAACTTGTTCACCTGTCTGAGCATTGGGAGATGTTTGGTGATAGGGACATATATGCAGAAAGTCCGTGTGTTGTGACGCTACGATTTTTAAGTTAAACTACTACGAATAACTACAGAAACTGTAATGAGAGAAATCATTATTATTGTTGTACCAGTGTTTAGGCACATTGCAGGCATCATCAGAATCCCAATAAAATAGTGATATAGTTCATAGTATAGCAGCAGCAACAAGAACGACGTGTGCCAGCAAATTCGAATGCTCGCAATTAAGTACAATAATTACTTATGCTTTCACTCACGCACGAGTACGTTGTAATTTACGGCATTCTTGCTCGACTTTGATCTTCAGCCTTTTTGTTTATTTTGTTTTTTGTTTTTTTTTTTTTCACTGATTTAGGCTGCTTCTCTTAACTGCCTTTAGAGAAAAATTTCAGCACCTACTTATTTGATTTTTTTGTTCTGAATTCTTTCGTAGAACATTTAAACTGCGATTCATTAAAAAGTATGCAAGTAAATTTTGTACAATTTATTTGATAGTTAATTATTTAAACATGTGGCTGACTTTAAGCAAAGCAAATTTTATTTCTTAGACTGTCTGATTTTATAATTCACAATGATTATAACGAACAAACAACCCGTGCGCAATTGGGGCTGGTCGAGGATAATCATCTATTAAGTGTCAAATTGGGACTGTGTAAGCATTTCTTTGTAACTATCAGTATCAAATTTGGGTTTGATATTAAATTACATTAGCCCATTCCATGCATCTGCTTATTTTAATGAGCATATAAATCACTGATATACTCAATTAATGCATGCAACGTGCAATGAGCTTCCAAATACCTGCAATGATGTATGTCATTCATAGGTATTTCATGATGAGATGATAAAAATGAAAATGTAAAATAATGTATAGAACCGCAATATTTGTTACGAATTTTCGCGTCTCATTGGTGAAAATTTCATAACAAAGTGTTGATTCAAATTATTCGTCATCATGGAAAGTTGGAAAAAAAACCATGCCAACTGTTCTACACCGAAATCATATTTATTCCTTCGGAGCATCTGACGCATACTTATTTCTCTCAAACTACTTTCAACAAGATGAACACCAAACGGATGTTCTACCCCTAAAACCTGCCTCAAGTCAATCTCGTTATGTGTATCGATTCTCCTTACCCTTTGGGCATAAAAGCAGCGCACTTCTTCTATGTGTACGGCTTCTCGAAACGTCTCAAAACCCATAGAAATGTACGACAGGAGCACACCGAGGGGCGAACGCACACACGTAAGCGTGTCCTAAAATAAAAAGTACATCATGCATGGATATGGGGAAAAAGAGAGAGAGAGAAAGAGAGAGAAGGCTTCCTCTCAGAGAACACAGGAGGAACTTATAACGTCTGCTTCCTGCGGAAGCGTTTTTTGAAGAGCCAGTTGTTTGCCTCCGGCAGATGTGAGGTGTGGATGATATAATAATAAGCGCATATGCGTGAGGGTTCGTGGGTATACGTTCAACGCGTGGCACGTGCCCAACTGTCTCGGATGCCTTTGTGTGCGAAGGTGTGCACTGATCACAGATACACGGTAGGTGTGCTACTGCTATCCGAAAAAACGAGCTTCTTTCGCTGGATGAATGTGAGCGGGAAAGTGAGCGCATTTATACGCAAAGAAGGGATGGTTAGTTACTCAAATTAATACCACTGTGAATTAAAAAGCTTTAGGTTTTCTAAAAAAGCCGCAGACTGGCACGTAGTGGCTCGGACAGTCGCAGGGCAGGGTGAAGTAGCGCACCTCGGCGCAGCTCTTGCGCGAACAAGTGAACTCGCCCTCGAAGCACCGGCAAGGCTTGCACTCGAGGTAGAAACTCGTGCGATGGGCTACGAAGCTGTTCTGCACCCAACAGATCGTTGCGGCTAGGCAGTACAGGGGCGAAATCAGCAATCATCGGGGAAAATCAATTCACCCACAATTTTTTTGCACCATCTTGTTTAAAATGTGCTACTACTGTACGGGGACGTACAGTTTGTCAGGCGGAACTGTGGTCAGAAATTGTTTAAACTATTTTTTTTCAAACAAAGTATATAAGTTAATTTTTTTCGTGGAAAAAAAATTACTCCGAATTCTTTGACCCATTCCGAGCAAATAATCAATAGAAATGTATGTACCTAAGCCCCACAGTTTCAAGTAAAAATTCCCAAAGTTTTTAAAAACGCGTTTTTTCCAATTTTCAGGGCTCCAAAAAAGTACTAAATAAATATATTTTCATGCTATGATACACGAACATTAATTATCGACCTTCCTCTACAATCTTTATAAAAAAATGTCGAAAAGTAAGCCTGTGGAGCCCTGAAAATTGTAAAAAAACATATTTTTTGAAACTTTGGGAATTTTTTACTCGAAAACTGTAGGGCTTAGGTATATACTTCCCAATCGATTATTTGCTTTAGATTGGCCAAAGAATAAGGATCATTTTTGAAGTTATACGTGAGGGGCTGTGCACTTTTGAAGTCATAAAAAAAGATTTCATGAGTCATTCTAAGTCTTTCAAGGACTTCAGAAGTCTCCAAAAGACTTCAGATTGCGCAGCCCCTCGGTTATACTTCTATAAGCGCGTTCTGCCCTACCGAGTAAATCAACGATTTCAGATTGGTGACCTTGAAAAAAAGTTTATCGGAAGTGGATTTTGCTTTCATTCTCCCCCTTCGCCCCACCCCTCATAACGTACTTTCTGTCCCCTACACAACACAAAATCAGAGCACCGCACTTACTATAGTACACATTTATTTATTTCTTTTTCTTGTAACAAATTTATAATAAAAAAAAAAGAAAAAAAAACTTGTACAGATACATGTTTTTTTCAAAACTTTGGAACATTTATTTATTCATTATTAATTTGTTACTTTCAAAATAAATAAATTATCAATATCTATAGACTCATTTCACTTGCTCCTTTGTCATTAAATAATATTTAAATGCAAACTATATAGAAATAGTCATGCTCCAAACTACAAAGTTTGCATTTTAATATTAAATGAATTATTGTTAATACAATTTTTTCTTATTTCATTAGAACTTTTATAAATAAAAAAAACATTTCCATACTGTATAAATANTAGATATATATAATCACTGATGTAACAAGTATCGTTTGTAAATTACCATAGAATTTATATTTGTCTTAGTCTTCAGCTTAGTACACGTCTTAGTCTGGAGCTCACTCAACTGTCTAGTATCATCACCTAGGATTTTTTGACATGGACGTCAGGTAAATAAAAACTTTTTCTAAACCACTTGTTCACTATATATCTATAACATTTTCTTAATGAAAAGAACACATCATTGTCTTATCAGTTCTGGTATGAGGTTTACCTGGGGATGAATGACGAATTTCATAAACAAGTTGTGAAAAGCAACGAATATCTCCTTTCTCCGATGTAAATGCACCCGATGAAAAAATTTTTATTGTTTACAAGAGTAATTTATAAATAAATAAGAAATTTACTATACTTTTTAATTCATATTTTTAATTATTTTTTCAGCGTATTATTTTGCCATCGTTTTCAAAACATTTAAATTTCCTTATGATGGTGTAGTGAGTGAGTGGCCATATGTTTGAACATCCCATCTGGCGTTACATTATTTGCAGTTTGAGTGTTAGAGAAAGAGTTTTTCATGAATAAATTGACTTGTATAATTTGTTTAAAAAAATTTGTTTCAACAATTTTATAACCTTATTTCCGCCTGACAAAATGTACTTTTTCATACAGGAGGACATTTTAAACAAGATGGTGCAAAAAAATTGCGGGCGAATCGATTTTCCTTATCAATTGCTGATCGTCCCATCGCTCCCATGATTGGACATATCCCCCAGCGAACAGCCTACGGTTGCATTGTATATTTTTTTGTATATTATTGATGATCATTATTATTATCATCACTATTATTATTACTACTACTGTTATTTTTGTATTATTATTATTATTATTATTATTATTATTATTATTATTATTATTATTATTATTGTTATAAGTATTGAGATTAATCATTGTCATTAATAAGGTCGTAAAAGAGAATCCCTTCTCTAGAGTTATAAAGAATTTTTTATGAATAATTATCAACACACCCATTTTACAAACTTTAGTTGAAATAATGAAAAAAAATGAAATACTATCATTCAATTTAAAGTTTATTTCAGAATGCTGGCTGTAAATTATATGCAGGACTGGATGGGAAATTTTTTTTTCCAACTTAAGGTTAGTTAATTTTTGTTCAACGTATCGACTGTAACATTAGAAACATAATTTTGCATTACTATTGTACAATTAAAAATTTTGTTAAAATACTGTATGTACGTACGTGGAATTTAAAGTTTCTTTGATATAATTTTTTTAACCATCTAAATATCTTACCCTGAGCTATCGGTCAATTAACTAAGAAACGTTTCTTTGATTCGACATATAATTAATATTAAATTCGTTTTAGCCATTTAAATGTATGTATGTCAAAAAAAATCTGGGAAGGATAGCGTTCTTTCACTGTTTTACATATTTATCATACATTGCAGATGATCAAATCGAAAAATTTGTTGCATCTTATCAAAGCGTTAACAATTGGCATGACACGCTATTATTATCTACGAACAGTGACGTTCATTGTTTTTATGTGTTTGAGTACTAGGCATAGGCAAAACGTAATGGTACCAGTACCTGAACAGTCTTACTTCATACAAGTTGCTTGAATAAACAATTTTTTTTTCCCAAGGACGATCACAACTTATCAAAATATAAATTTTGTTTTATCTGAAGAAAGGTAAAAGGATATTAAACACAATTGTTTTTTATTTTATTAACATTGGAAATAGTTTTTTCGAGCTGTTCAAGCTTCTGTTTTATGTTATACTGACAGGAAAAGTGAAAATACAGTGATTTTGCTGGCTGAACGGGTTCATGTATTATTAACTCATTATCTCGACTGTAAAATTCAATGAATGACATGTAAGAGTGTCTTGAGATGATGAACGTCCACATCTATTCATTACTTTGATATAAACCTCAATGATGTCTGATACATTACTTTGAAGTCTACATTTTTCTAACGAAGCTAAATAATAGTAGTTTTCATACGAGTTCGAAAAGTCTCTGTTTGCGAACCGAGACGTTTGCGGCCCGAGCCGAAGGCGAGGGACGTAACGAGGTTCGTAAAGGAGACTTTTCGAAGGAGTTCCGGAAAACTGCTTTTTCGCCCGAGGAAGTACCAGCCTCCCAAAACCACCCGAGGGCGGAAAACTGTTTTTTCGCCCGAGGAAGTACCAGCCTCCCAAAACCACCCGAGGGCGGAAAAAATAGTATTTTGTCGTAAAACTAATTCTAAGTATCACTCTTTATAATATGACTTTTCAAGGAGATGTGCAATAAAGTACAGCAATGCATGAAAAATGATTTGGATGAAAATCGAGAGAAAAAATAAAATTCTGAGCGGTGATTTCTGAATGAAATCAATATTTATTGAAAAATTGTGAATTAAAAAAAATATATTGAAAACGTGGAACCGTCATTTCCATCACAGTAAATGAACCTTTTTTTGTAACCATGTGTGACTGCATTACTATATCTTCCGTCAATAGGTATACACAAATTATGATATATACGTATCGAAATATATCTGCTCCTGCGTTTCGATAAATCTTTTGGGTCACAAGGAGAAGTGCCTCATTGAAAAATTTGTAAACTGCGTTTTAACGCTTTCTTTTTCGGAGCGCACATGTTCATAAATCTTTTCATTCTTAGTAAAGGGTTTCTCATGAATTTATAATTCAGTAACGTCGGGTTTATTTTGGTTATCGTATATGATAAAGAAAAGTACCTTTTTTCCTTGGGACTCATCGATGTTATGAATATCTACGAAACTTGTGACATTAACTCAGTTTGGCATTGCTTAGCATATAAAAACGATCACACCTCGCGAACTAAATTAATTCACGTACTGAATTTTAAATGCTACAAAATCGAGTTGATCTTTAAAGAATTATTCAATATCAAAATTATCTAAACTCGAGCAAGCTCCAAAAGAACCAGTAAGTAGTAGTTATTTTATTATAACTATACATTTTAGCAGAAAAGCTGAGTATTCGTTTGAAATAAGCAGAAAATTATTAATGTGTGAAGTAGGGATGCGCAAAAAATATCGATATTCATAAATATCGATATTTTGTTGACCAAATATCGATATTTTGAACCGATATCTGAGGTTCCGATATATCAGTATATCGATATTTAATAAGTAGATATCGGTACAATACCGGTTAAAAGTTAAATGAGCGTATATTTAAAATGCAGACGAGCACCAAAAATTTGTTTATTTTAAGCATTTCCTTAAAAACTTGAAGCAAGCCACGCAGCTCTAATGTAGTATTGTGCGCTTTTGTATGTGGAGCCAGCAGATTTTTGGTGCTCACACGGAGCTAGCATGAATGAGAATTTTGAAAAGTTTCAAAATTAAGTAAGTCTTACGTGCGCCTCAGGTGCCTGCATTTAAATAGATCCGCTCACATTGTTTTTCTTAGAACTAAGCTTTCTTAACACAAAATATCTATACTTGATATGTTTATAAACTTATAGTGTCGGTATCTATGTCTAGATATGTATAATCACTGACATAACAAGTATCGTTTGTAAATTACCATAGAATTTATATTTGTCTTAGTCTGGAGCTTAGTACACGTCTTAGTCTGGAGCTCACTCAACTGTATAGTATTATCACCTAGGATTTTTTTGCATGGACGTCAGGTAAATAAAAATTTTGTCTGAACTACGTGTACACTATATACCTATAACATCTTCCTAATGTAAAAAACACATCATTGTCTTATCAGTTCTGGTATGAGGTTTACCTGGAAGTTAATGCCAAATTTTATAAACAAGTTGTGAAAAGTTACGAATATCTCCTTTCTCCGATGTAAATACACCCGATGAAAAAACTTTTATCGTTTACAAGAGTAATTTATAAATAAATAAGAAATTTACTATACTTTTTAATTCATATTTTTAATTATTTTTTCAGCGTATTATTTTGCCATCGTTTTCAAAACATTTAAATTTCCTTATGATGGTGTAGTGAGTGAGTGGCCATATGTTTGAACATCCCATCTGGCGTTACATTATTTGCAGTTTGAGTGTTAGAGAAAGAGTATGGATATTTCCATTTCCTTTACCTTTATTTGAATATGTTACAAAAAAAAGTAGTTGTATTAAGATTTAGCACTTAAAATTCTCATTTTTTCAGTGGGACCAAAAACTAAAAATGAGGTGTGGAGATATTTTAAAACCAGTGCACAAAGTGCAGTTATTTGTCTTTTGTGCAATCACGNTAAATTGTAATAAAATTTATTTTTCCCATTTAGGGATATAATGCTAAGTGCCGGTTACAGTTACCAGATGTTAGCACCAAAGAAAGGAAACTTATCTGTTCATCGACCGTATTCATTTTATACATTTACATAATTATTATTTTTTGATCCATTTTAATTTTTATTTGTAATTATTATTTTTTGTTTACCATTAAAAACATACGTCATTTTTACTTTCAGAAAAAAAATTCAACAATATTTGAAATCGATTCCGATGTCTCTGAAGACAGTACATCGTCAATATCATCCACACAATCTATGTCAAAATTAAAATTTGATTTTGATACATCAAAACAAGGTTCTGTTTATGAGAATAAAATATATTCAGCAAAGGCTTTAAAATCTAAACAGTTAACAATTAATGAGGCTATTTCTCACCAAATATCTTTTCAAAGTATGTAAAATATATTTCACTTACATCTTACTTTTCTATTAAGAAAATCACATACATGTAAATGTAACTTAATTTTTTTAATATACCAGATGGAGGTCAAAAAGCTCAAGATATCACGAACAGAATTTTGTTCATGCTGGCTAAGGACAGACTACCGTATTCTACGGTTCAGAATGAGGGTTTTTTAACTGTAATGAAATTCATTGCACCATTATACAAAGTTCCTGATAGAAAAACAATAACCAGTTTAATGGAAGACAAGTATTTTGTCAAACATTGTCAAAGAAGAACTGTCGAAAATAGATAATGTGTCTACAACTACTGACATTTGGACCGACCCTCTAAACACTACTAGCTACTTGGGTGTAACGTGCCACTACATAATCAGTTGGAGATATAAATCCATAAATATTGGTGTCACAGTACTGTCAGATCATCACACTTCAGAACATTTGCAAGATTAGATTTTAACCATCCTCACTGAGTGGAAAATTGAAAAAAGTAAAGTTGTTGCCATGGTGTCCGACAATGCAAGTAATGTAACAAAAGCCATTACAAATGCTTTCGGTAATGAAAACCATTTACCTTGTTTTGCCCACACCTTAAACTGAGTGCCGTCCAAAATATTTAAAATCAGTGATACCAATGATGCCATTGATCCAATCAATCCAATCATTAAAAAAGTAAAGGCTGTTGTAAAATTCTTTAAAAAATCGGCTCCAGCTGCAGATCAGCTGAGAGCGGTATCTGATCACAAGCTGATACAAAGTACTGATACAAGGTGGAATTCTACATATGATATGCTTCAACGTTTTATATCTCTGTCTGACATTATCGCTCCAATACTGATTCAAATTCCTGATTCAACAGAAATGCTTACGGCATCTGAATTACTGACAACAAAAGAACTGGTTATTTTATTAAAACCATTTGATGCAGCTACGAATATATTGAGTGGTGAAGAGTACATGACAGGAAGTAAAGCTATACCTGTGATCAAAATCTTAAAACATGATTTAGAAACGTGCAGAGTGGATTCACCTGGAGCTGTATACTTAAAAAAATCTCTAATTGAACAGTTTTACAAAAGGTTTGATAAAATTGAGAAAATGACTTTAGTAGCCCAGGCTACGATTTTAGATCTGCGTTACAAAAAATTGTATTTTGAAAATGAAATGGCATGCTCAGATGCTATAAATAAAATAACAAAACAAATAAATAATAAAAAATCAGCAAAAAAAAGAATGTTCGATAAAGATCAACCTTCGAAAAAAGTAACTAAAGAGTCAGATGATTTTTGGTCTTATCATGAGAGACTTCTAAGAGACAATCATCAGATCCAGCAACAAAATCATGATCAAAGTGAAATGCCTGAAGAGTCCCTATACTACCTAAGCCAACCACAAATTAATAAAGACGAAGATCCTTTAATGTTTTGGAAACACCAGCCAAACTCAAAGTTAGCAAATCTTGCTATAAAGTACCTTACTTTTANAGATTTAGGGTGAATGGACACCTAGGTCCCTTCCCCCTTAGAGAAGAGTATCGTCCGTAACCGGGATACCCAGCTGCAAGACTATTATCAGCATTCTCAATACAGCTCGTTGAGTTGCCGAAGCTCGACTACAACACTGTGGAGACGCTCCAGCCTATTATAACCACACTTATTTAATTATGTTGCAGGCAGCTTCGATTTTATGTCGACGCCATATTCACACACGAGTTATTACATTACTTTACTTCTTCCTAATATTAAAAAAAAATTTTATTAAAAATTTATCGATATTTTTTGAGCAACATTTTTTTATCGATATCTTAAGTTACGATAATATCGATTTCCAAGTATCGATATTTTTTCAGATATCGCGCATCCCTAGTGTGAAATGGGAACTAACATATTTTATAATAAAATGAAGTAGCGTGTGTAGACGTTACCGATCTTGCAACCATCAGGAAGTGGAGGGGAGCGTAGAATTTGATTATAACGAGGCTCGAGGCAGTGGCAATATTTTTTCATTGCTGTAAAACATAGAATCAGTGACGTCAATATATTGTACTCATCAAACAGTAAAGTATAAAGTAAGCAGCAATATACTTAAGAATCAACGTAGCAAAGCGTTTATTTTTCAAGGGCAATTATCTGACTAAGGACGTGCTTTCAGTTTATTGAGTCATACGGACAAGAAAAATCTCGGTGAGCCTAAATCGTCATACACATATGTCTAAATTTTTTTTATAAAATCATATAAAAAAAATCTAAAATTTTTTGGTAATGTTTGAGTAAAATGTATTACTTTAATTCAAAGTACATGAAAATGATTTTTAGGAAACATCATTTAAATTTCTTCACGACAGAATAATATCTCACGTCTTCTTTAATGATAAAAACATGTTTTATGAATTTTGTATAATCATGGATTCTTTTTAATTAGGGTAGTACTAACAATTTATGATATGTTTTTGTGATTGTTTTATAACTATCGTATGAAATAGAATTATCTTCGTACTTTCTTGTAGTAAAGTCAGCGTGAGATTTTTATTTTATTTAGATGCTAAATGCCAAATCTTTCGGTCAAATAATCTTCCTGCTGTCTTTAAATTTGTGCGAGCGTAAAGTCTTATATTTAGAGAAAAAAAAGGTTTTATATATTTAGTTTTATTTCTAAATTGCAAATAAATTTTATTTATCCGCTGTTAAATAATAGTGAACAATTTAGTCATATTATTAATAAATTTAATAAATTGTAATAAAATTTATTTTTCCCATTTAGGGATATAATGCTAAGTGCCGGTTACAGTTACCAGATGTTAGCACCAAAGAAAGGAAACTTATCTGTTCATCGACCTTGTGAAACTCGTCCAGTTAAATATGAAACAAATAAACAATCTGTCCCGAAGAATAAATGTTTTTGGGAAACGAAAATTTTCAAATAATAATGCAAAGCTTATGTCAAGCTATAATCTCAACCTGTGGATTAAATGTAGTAGAGAAGTGGACTTGTTCCCCACAACACTGGATCAAAGTTTATTGTTCAGTATTTTAGTTGCATTTACTAAATAATAAATACGTTATTGTATGTATTCTGGCTTGTTGTAGTAATAGACTAATGTTACAATGTACTGTGAAAATGAGTATGTTATTAATGTACTGTAAAGATTTCTAAGACGACCCTTTAATTAGTTGAATTTTGCAAAATTGTTTTCAAGTTTACTGATCGAGTCATTTATTACTAGTTTTTGTAAAAATTACTGTGCATTAAACGTTATTTTCTTAAAATAATTTAGAGTTCAAAAAGTACGATCTTACTTGAGTAAGTACGTCTCAACATTAAAAAAAAAATAATACAATGGGACTTTTGAATTTAAGAATCAATTTCAAAAGTGATTGAAACTTAATTATAAACTTACATAACAAAATGAGATATAAAAATTTTCAACAATCAACAATTTATTTTATTTAAGATTTCCTTTTTTCAAGATGCCCTATGAAAGTGTCATTTATTTCGAAAGAAATTTCATATCGTCTAAAACTTTCGAATAGGTCTATAGTTTGGGAAAATCAGTAATTTTGATGAAATGTATTATGATAATGAATTTCTATTTGTAATATTACAAACTAGCAGCCCCCCGTCTCGGCTTCGCCCGAGACTTACTAAATAAAACAACGTAGTGTGTTGACATGTAATGTGAAACATTTTCAGTTAGAAATTTTACACATATTCCTGATACATCTAAGAACAAAAATCCTCTTATTAAAAACATATTTTTTCGGAATCCATGTAGTTTATTTGGTTAAATAATGAGGTGTAAAAATTCAAAAAAATAATTATGCTGAAAAGTACCGTGCGTTTTTTATGCCATAAAATAATCGGTGGCCATAAAAAGCCGTTGATTTACAGTTTCTCCCATGTAATTCACAAAAACGGCTATTTTTTAAAGCTGTTAAGATTTTAAACCCCCAAAAAATTTATATTAGAAAAAAATTTTTTTTCTCATATCTTACAACTTTATTACCAGAGCAACAAAGTCCTGGACCTTAAACCCTACATTTTTATTGCCACAAAAACACAAATACATTTTCTACTCATTAAAAAATCTGAAGTAGGATCTTTAAAGATTTCAGAGATTGCTGTGAGGGTACAATGAAAAGCTGATCTTTCACGCAATGGACTCTTTAGTTGTCAATTTTGACGCTGCTGTTTCAATCTCCATAAATTTTCTGCGTCAGTTTCTTGACGCCTAAGTAAAATTGTATTTATTTGATACATTTAATGTTTTTCTTCCGATTCACCCTCTTGCGACTTTTGGCATGCTTAAAATTTTTGTGACCCCTAAAGGCTGCTTTCTGTCAACTTTGATAAGTTCTAATATATTTGTTGGCAAGGTAGTTCGACGTCCGATGGCCCTAAAAAAGACCGGTGAGCTTCTTAAGTTAACTCTTTCTTGACTGCAGTTAACAGCAATTGTGACCTGGTTACCTCAGGGTGATCTTTTCTGGCTTGCTGTTAAAGATACAGACTGATTGGGAGAAAAATTACAA